CCCCCTCCCACCTCTCTCCATATCTGTAAAATAACAGAGAATTCTGATCACCTGAGAAGGTATCAGGCAATGGCTATCAAAGTGCATTCCCAGTATTAAGGGCAGAATTATAACCTCAGAGGGAAGGTAGGGGAGGATGGAGGTAAGGTTAAGAGATCAACCAAAGGACTTGTATGCATCCCTACCAATGGACACAGACACTGTGAGGTGGGGGCAGGGGCAGAGGTAGGGAGGTGGGGAGGAGGCCAACGGGAGAAAAAGGAGACATATGTACTACTGTTTGTAGTACTTTAAACAATAAAAAATAAATAAAAAGAAAATAAATTTTTAATATTATTCTTTAAAAAATTAAATCTAGGGGGAAAATTGTAAATATATAGTGTTCATTAACATGACTAAATCAATTAATTAAATTATTTTAATTAAAACAATGTTTAGTAAATGTAATTGTTTGACCAAATTGTTTGCTCCAGAATATAGTTTCTCAATGAAAATTCATTAGTGGCAATGTGGAAAACTCATCTAAATGTAGAATTAAAATGACTTTGAAAAAAAAAAAAAAAGAAACTCAAAGGAGGCTAGTCGCTAGGGAAAGGAAGCCGGGCGTTGCTATGTGACGTCATTACCCGGCGCCAACAGCGACGGCTTCCGGGCTGGGCTGTGGGCGGCATTCTGCGGAATGGGGTCTTGGCAGCGTTTGCTGTGTTTTGGCGGGGTGGCGCTCCGGAGTGGTGGCGGGGCCTGTGTCCCGCTTGGGGGAAGCCACTCGGTGTGTCGGCGCCAGGTCCGTGGTGCAGCCGGGCAGGGGCGGAGGGCGGATGGAGCTGCTGGGCCGCAGGGGCCTGGTGTTGCCTCCGCCAAAGGCCCGCGGAGCCCCGGGTCCCCCGCCCGCTGGCCGCTCAGTGAGACCCCCGGCTGGACGGCCCCACTTTCCGTGCAGGTCCCCGTAGGATGAGGCCGAGGTGTGGAGGGACGTGGAATATGGTTAGAACATGGATGTGTGACTTGCGCATTGCTTTCGTAAGCCTTGGTTTATGCAGAGAAGGAAAACACGTGGAGGCTTTAACTCCGGAAAGCGGCGCTTGCTTCCATTTGTAACGTCTGGGTGTCTTGACAGATAAGTCAGCTGAAACAACCTGTCTCTTGGATTGTGATCAATAGCAGTAGGTGAATAGCACTAAAGGCCTCACTAGTAGAAATGAATAGACTTGGACTGTAAAAAGAAAGAAAGAAAGAAAGAATGTCCTTTTAATCACAAACCCCGAATCGTTTTTATTTTCACAGTATGATAATAAAGATGGCTTATTTTAAAACTTTTTTTTTAAAGTTATCTGGCGCTGAAAATGAGACCCTAAAACAAAGAAGAACACAAATCATGTCCCGAGGACTTCCAAAGCAGAAACCAATAGAAGGTGTTAAACAAGTTATAGTTGTGGCTTCTGGAAAGGGTGGAGTTGGAAAGTCTACAACAGCAGGTATTATAGGATATTAATTCGAATTTCAATTAGGAACTTTTGACAACTGGCGATTGCACAGTATTAAAACTGTAGATTTGTTTTTTAAAAGTTAGTAATTGTGAAGTTCCTGATATCTGGATACTTAGTATCAGGAGTTGGTAGTGGTTAGGAGCTTAGATTTTGGAGTTAGACCTAACTTGGTAGATAGCCAGGCCTTTGACTCCTTAACTGAGGCAAAGGTTGTCAAGTTGCCCATCAGATCTTTAGTTTACTTACCTGTAAAACGGCAAGGATGACCACTATTTTTCATTAGGTGGTTACCTAAATTAAACTGAACACTTTGCCCAGTGTCTCCTACATAGTAAGTGCTCAGTGTTTGGTTACTGTTATTATTTTAAAACCATCTATTGACTTTAATACTGAATTATTTCTGTTCTTTGGCAGTCTTTTCCAGTCTTTTTCCATTTGCATGTAGTTGTACATGTAATTGTAATGAGATTGTTTACATTATTGTGATCTTTTTTATTTAACTGTAATATAATTTTCACCATTTATAAAGTCCATATAGACCTAATCTTTGAAAATGCTTGAAAAGATTTAATGTAATTATTTAAGATATCATCTAATCTTTGTATCTTTTATATTATATTGGAGCAGAGAAAATTTTATATATATATATGTTTTTGGGGTGGCTCTTTTTAATTTATTGTAGACTTCATTGTGACTGAAGTGCTGCTTTTAGTACCCATAAAAGAATGCAACCAGAAATAGAATAGTTACCATCCAAAACTAATAAACAGATATTCCCAAGTTTTTTCAAAAGAAACCTCTTATTTCTAAAGTTAATCCAGTGCAATAATTTTAAAGGGTAACATCCCTTCTCCCAATCCTATTCTACAGAGTATTATTAATTTGGGGTTATAAAGTTCTTATGTCTTATTGTTGTCTCATATTTAATTTTCAGTCATTTCAATAGGAATGGCTGCTAATTCAGGTCTTAGCTAACCTATCTTTTTTTGCAGTTGATTTTAAAAAAGTGACTACCTTATTATATTTCACTTTGTTAATTTTAGTTTGCTTCTGTACTGGCAAGATCTTTAAAATTTGTGGCTTTTCCCCCTCCCCCAGATTATTAACCTAAAGTTAAGGCATATGTGCATCTCAAAATTCTTTATTTCTATTGAAACTAATGACATTTTTGAAATAAGAAGGGCCAGGTACAGAGTTCTGTGACTGTCACTAGACATCTGTGTCTTGCCTTAAAGCCATATTTAGTAAATCCTACGTCTTAGTGGTTTTATAGTTGCGCAACTAGCAATAAATCCAACTGTATAGTTTTATTAGTTCATTTACCCCCCCCCCCATTTTTACCTGAAGGTAATTGTAAAAGAATATTTCAGATGTTTGAAGAAATTCAGATCTACCAAGTATTGTGGTGATGATAGACCCTTAATTTACTACTTAATAGATAATAAACTGTTATTAAAATGATTAGTTAGTGACTGTTCTAAAGAATTTATGCTATATTTGACACATTTTTGCTTTCCTAAGAGTCTACAATTGATCTATTTGATATTTTGTTTTTAAAACTTAATAGCTCTTAATCTTTGGTTCTAGATATACCTCTTTTTAAATTCAGAGTACATTTACCTGTTTTCAGTGGTGTGAATAATTTTGTATGCTCTGTGACTACTTGGTCTTATTAAAGATGGAAATTATTTTCATGATGATAGCCATGGTTTTGTGCAATATAATTTGCTGGGTCTATAGGCTAGCACTTTTTTAGAGCTGATTGTTTATTGTTTTTAGTTAGAAGATTACCTATTGCCATGGAATGCGATAGCATATAAATAGGTAAATATATGGAAAAATGTATAGTATATGTCACAAGTAGGTGTTTCAGTGAATTCCCTTCTTTGCTTTTTTTCCTTTGTTAACGTTATACCACCTGTCCCAAACAACTGGCCTATCCTTTTTCATAAGAGCCCTATCTGCATACATAAGCCTTAGAAATAGGTTATTTCTATGTAACTCTGTTGGTATTATATTTCTTTTCCTTATATGTGTTTATTCTTGTCCCAGACAATCTGAAAATACTTCCCATTTGAATGTGTATGCTAGAGATATTTTGGATTAGAATGATAACATTTGATTAATACAAACATGCTCTGTGAGCGTATTGTATAAATATTGAAAGACCCTAACATGAAAATGAATTAACCTCTGATGGTTTCCACTTAAATGTTGGATTATGTTTAACCTATGATGTACTTGAAATTCAGAATTACTTTATAATTTATAAAGATTAATTTATCAAGTGCCCTAGGCTAAGTACTTTACATACAGTATTTCCTATAATTCTCACAACAGTTATGAAATAGGAAATATTTTATAGAGGAAGAAACAGACTTAGGGGCTAAAATATCCTATTCAAGGTTACATAAGAAAGTGGTGGAACTGCGATTTGAACCAGGCCTACCCAGAAACCTATGCTCTTAACTACTTTAAAGGAAACAATTTCGGCATCATTTATGACATCGATTTGTAAGGAATGTGATCCATAGTATGAGGGTCCATTTATCAGTCATGGGAACATCTTTATTGCTGGATTAAAGGTGGTTTTCAGACTACTACTTTCCTCCTTGCTAGTCTTTGGGATTCACTAGAATAGACAGTTTTCAGAACTTGTTTTACCACCTTACCTTTTACCTTCTTCCCTTTTCTTTGCACAGTGGTTCAGCCTTTCAGATATGTAAGTACTGTGAGTTACATATTTAGAATTCCTGCATCACTAGCATTTATTTTTAAAAAACAATATAATCATACCCATTTTTATTTATTAAAAGGTAGATATTTTTTTGAAAATATGTTTTTGAAAATAATTAAAATATATATATATATGCCATTAAGATAGTTTAAAACAAACTAAGTAGATTATTTAAACAAAATTATAACAGATTATAAATGAATTATTTGAAATTTTAATAAGCATCTATTATCTTGGAATATTACTTTTGGGGTCTTTTTTACTTCCTGAATTCTCTCCATGTCCTTGTAAAAAACAAATAAGGAAAATATATTAAATGTTTCTGTGCTTTGGTTATTACATTGCACATATTAAAAAGGAAAATGAATTTTAGTAGAAGGAAAGTTACTAAATTTAATTACTTTTTTGTTTCTTACAGTTAACCTTGCACTTGGACTAGCAGCGAATGATTCGGTAGGTGTTCATTAATAGAATTATTAATTTATTAAAATGTGTTTTAAGCCACTGATAAAGAGCATATTGATGTTTTTCATTTATTCTGTCAAAAGCTATTAATCCTGTTCTAGTCATTTGCATGTCTTTAAGAAACTCAAAAGTCTGCTATAATTACTGGTTATAATGAAAATGAAAGGGGACCACTAGTCACAGAATTTAGGCAGCCTCTAGAAGCTAGAAAAGGCAAGGAAGTGGATTCTTCCCTAGAGCTTCCAAAAGGTATGTAATTCTTCCAATATGCTAATATAAGCCCTTAAACCCATTTTGGACACCTGTGATAATTTCTTATAGTAGAAATAGGAAACTAGACAGAAAGTCCATTTTCTTAATTTTTGAATTTCCAAATACAGTGGGGCCTTGACTTACGAGTGTCCCGACTAAGGAGTTTTTCGAGATAGGAGCTGTCTCTCAGCCGATTTTTTGCTTTGAGTTGCGAGCTAAAATTCGGGTTATGAGCCAGCTTTAGATACCTCACCGCTAGTTGGCGCAGTGAACGTCACAGTGAACACCACAACATCAGCCCAGCATCACGTGTCTCACTCGTTCACGTTTGATTTTACATACGAGTAATTTGAGTTACGAGCTTCGTCACGGAACAAATTAAACTCGTAAGCCAAGGCCCCACTGTATGTCTTTATTTTGCCTTCATGTTTCATAGCTTGACTAGATGTAGAATTCCAGGTTTAAAATAATTTCCTCTCTAAACCTTGAAAAAAAATTCCATTTTCTTCTAGCATGCTAATGAAATGTCTGATGCTAGTCGGATTCATATTGCTTTGTAATAACCTATTTTCCCCCCTCAAAGCTTTTAGAGTTTTCTTTATGTTCTTTGAGTTTAGAAATGTCACAAATATGCATCTAATTGTTGGCTTTAAAGTTTTTTACTTGCTTGGAAACTGGCCAAACAGTATCGAAGTTTCAGTTTTTTTGAGCTTAGAGCAAATTTTTTTATTGATTACTTCTTGTGATGTGTTTGTTCTCTCTCCAGAAACCTATTAGGTAGAAACGGATCCTTTATGCCAGTTAATTTTTCTGTCATATTCTCCATCACTTTGTCTTTTGTTTTGTGTTTTAGAAGATGCCTCTACACTGCCATACTAGGTTTTAGTTGTTATTTAGTCCTTCTGATTTTTTAAAAATTCAGAAATTATATTTTTTCCAGTGTTTCAGAACTATTTTTTTATTTTCCAATTGCTGTCCCTACCCACTTGAAAAAATGTTTGTATCATTTGTTTGAATCTTTCTGAGGATGCTAATTAGAATTAATAAAAAATATTCTTTTTAATGACCTCTATTTACTTAGCATGATGGTTTTCATAATATGGTCCTCAAACCGGCAGAGTCAGCATCATCTGGGAACTTGTTAGACATACAAAATCATCAGCCCCACCTCATACCTACTGAATTCGAAACCCTGAGAGTGGAGTCCTGCAATCTGTGTTTAAACCAGCCCTCTGGGGTATTTTGATACATGCTAAAGTTTAAGAACCATGGATCTAAAGGTTTTTAAAACTCTAATCTTCAAATGGCACCTTTTTGTTTTCTAATGTGGCTATATATATATCTACACTAATAAAAGACAAAAA